AAAAAAAGAAAGTGAAACAAAGGTTTTAATTTTTTTTTACCCAAGTGGCATTAAGCAAGGTAGTAAAATAAAAGAACTACTTGATAAGAGAAATTTCTGTTTACAAATAGGTTACATAGATTAAAAGCTTAGATAGATATATGAAAGGTGCTACAGCATAATGCTTAAGATGGTAAATTCTGGAGCCAGACTACTAATTTGGAATTCTGGCTCTACCACTTACTAGCTGTATGATCTTACGCAAAAAAAAAAAAAGTTAAGTTACTTAATTTTTATGCAGTTTACTTGTAAAATGATGATAAAAGTCAGCTGTCTAAAAGAGTGGTTGTGTAGATTAAATGCATTATTATGTGTAAGCACTTAAAACAGTGTGTGGCATATAATAAATGCTCAAAAGCCTCCGCCATTCTTTCTTTCTTTTCAAATTACTATTTGTTAATAATTCCTTCAAAACACAAATAGAGTCAAGAAAAATTTTAAAATATTGACATGTGAACTTTTAAAATGCCATTCCCTTTAGGGAAAAGTTGTGATTTCCCAAGGGCAGTATGAACATATTTTTTCCTGTAATGTAATATTCCTAGTGCTTTATTCAAGTTGTAATATTTACTTCATATCACAGATAAAATATGGGTCTGAAATAAGGTCAAGTATAGTATTACTCTTTGACATGTATAGTAATGAAAACAAATGAAAACATGGGGAAAAACATGGAGCAAAACTAATAAAATTCTGTCTATATATTCATATTTATCACTAGAAAAACCTCCTGAATAAGTATATCAATGTACCAAGAATTTAGACTTGATTGGTTTCAAGTCTCTGGAAGCCAAAAGAAAGAGATTACCTACTTAGCAGTGTAGAATTCATAAGAACATCATAACCTGCTATATAAATTTGAGAATTAAAGCAGTTCAAATAAATGTAAAGATTCACCAAATTCTGTCCCATGAGAATTTCAGTCCACTCTTTCCTAATTTACATTTCCTTAATTTGCAATACATTTACTCCTCAAAGACAGGAAATCCCTTACATAAATTACTATATATGTCAAAGAGTAATACTATACTTGACCTTATTCCAGACTCTTATTTTATCTGTGATATGAAGTAAATATCACAACTTGAATAAAGCACTAGGAATACTGCATTACAGGAAAAAATGTGTTCACACTGCCCTTGGGAAATCATGACTTTTCCCTAAAGAGAATGGCATTTTAAAAGTTCACATGTCAATATTTTAAAAATAACTTTTACCTAGTAAGCAAATAAAAGCATTTGGTTAAACTAAAGCCTTGATTTTTAATGACAGCTCCCATCATTTTTTCTGCTGATCATCTTTTCTATTATAAACACTATAATCAGTACTTTCCTTCCTAGGCTTTGGCCGTACTTTAATCTCTTTCACCTATATGTGGGCTATATTTCACTTTGATTTGATGTAAAATGTTTTCCTGTTTCATGTGAACAACTATTCTTATAGGTATCATAAAGGAGATGGAAATAAAATGTACATTAATTACTTCTTCCAAACTGGAAGGATTCTAAGGGTACCGTAACTACAAATAATGAAAAACTCAATCTGGAGGCATTTTGAACTGTTCAGGGAGAGGTTTGGGTTAAAGGAACTTATAGGGAGGAAATAATAAAGGATCTGTTTTCTGAAGAAGAAATACATGATGAATGATAGCTGGTGGAGAATTAGTTTCAGTGGGCATTTCACTGTTACTTGAAAAAAGAGTATGAACTTGAAATTAGAAGAGAGATTACGCAAAACTCTAGTAGTGTACTGGTATTCTTTGCTTAAGAAACAATTTTACCTAGATCATGCAGTTTTCTACTGTTAACTAAAAAAAAAAAAAGTGGTATTTGATCTAGAGAAAGTTATCTATTACAAGCAACAGGAACAGAAAATACAAAACATAATTTCTATTAGTATTCTGAAAAAAAAAAGGAGGGGTAAGGAAAATGAAGGGTATAAACTACTTGAGATAAACTATACCAATAAAAGACAGCAACTAAATGAAAAATATTTGATAATTAGGTAATACAAAGGCTCGACTTAGAAATGATGCTTTCTTTTATAGACCAATTATTAGATGACAAAAGATTAGAACAAGAAAAAATATAGTTTTCATTAATGAAATAATCCAAAATTCATTAAATTGCACTAATAAGTAATAAAGGGAATGCATGGACATAGCAGGGGGAAGCTCATGGTTTTAACAATTTATGTCATACTACACTAAAACAAAAGCCAGACCATATTTCGTATTACCATCTGCACAACAGTGCTAAAATGCCATTTATAAATATTTTCAAGTATCTTTTAAGTGAAAATCTGTACTTTTTCACTCTTTGAGGTTTTTAAACTTTTAAACCTAGTTTGCATGTTTTTTTAATAATTATCACTTATCTATAAAACATGTTCATAAAACAAAGGGCACTAATTATAGCTTCTTTATATAAAGCCTATGATTGTACATAGTTTTGAAATGCATAAATGATACAAGTACTACTACTAATAATGTATTTCATTACTTTTCTACAAAAGAAATAACTAGTATCCTTAGAGTAAGGAATTAGTGTATATTAACATAAGATAGTTAAGGGCTCTGGAAAAAAATCTTCCCCAAAATTCAAAAGCTGCTTAATCAAATTCAGTTTCACTGACTATCAGTTGAAATAGGAATGTTTCATTTGCCTTCTCAATGAATTTCCTAATCTAAACAGAATAGAATAGATGACAGTTATCAAAGCAAGAAATAACTATCCAATTATTTGTCAATATTAGTTGGGTCATTCTTTTCTACTTTGCATCTGGAGGTTGTATGAAATTCAAGTACCAAAGAAAACACTCCAGGAAAATGATACTATTTCTACATTTGTTCTTGCTTTCAATGACAAAAAGACTAAAGAGCAATTCTATTAGAAGGCAATAAAATAAGCTAGTGTTTCTTACTGGTCAAATGATGGACTTCATTAAATGCTGTGTTAAAAGTTAAAACAATGGGGGGTAAGAGGATAGAGTAAATATTTCCTTCACTAAACAGTTCATAACTAGCATATCTTCCAAGTAAAAGAGAGAGAAAGAGAAAATGGCACATTTAAAAATCAAAGCAATTATAAAAGGAAATTCCTCTGGGTGTTGGTTTTCTACTAAATTTCTGGCCATGATACATGATATTGACTATAATGACTATACAAATTGTTTTTCAACAGGAAATTGTTATAGGATTTATATACTCTGGAAACTGTTACTTAAGAATTAACACTTTCTGATTGAGAGAACAAGAGAGTCATGAAGATTTAAAGGAAAATAGTAAGATTGATAGTTGAATAAAACATTGATCCTTAATCATAATTATCAAGTGAAGAACTCCACATATGGCAAAAAGCCATGGAAAAGCCTCCAAAGTGAATAAACACAATGAACTTTTTCACTCTTCATTATATGAGGTTTAAAAACAGCATAAATTACTTTCTTAAATTTCATATGAAATAGACAATTCATAAAGACATAAACTAGAGGTGAGTTCAGTTTAAAAATCCTATTTAAGAAGGATTATAACCTTCACTCCAAAACAAGACCTTACGAATATTTGATAGAAATTAATACAGATTTAAATGAAGTACCCAGCAAAAACATTAAATATGCATATTACAATGTGGATGAAAGGGAAATCTGTGTATTCTTTGCTAGGAAACAAGGTGGCTGGCTCAGGGTCACTGGCTCAATTCTATATCTCCTTGTGTGAGTCTCCCATTCCTGAATTCTCTTTTAGAACTTGTTCCCCTGGAACCATAAAGTCAACTTTCATATGCCTGACTTTCATACAAGTCATACTTTCAAACGTCACACATTGATATCCCTAAATTTTGACTTTCCTACTCTGATTTCAGAATTTTATGCTTTAGTGCACAAACATTTGCAACTTTCATCTGTTAAGTCTGACTTACAACCACAGAGTATAGTTGACCCTTGAACAGCATGGGGGTTAGGGGCAATGACCCCTGTCAAGTCAAAAATATGAATATAACTTTTGACTCCCCCCATATTAACTACTAATAGCCTACTGTTGACTGGAAGCCTTACCAGTAACACAAACATTCATGTAACACACATTTTGTGTATGTATTATATACTACATTCTTACAATAAAGTAAACTAGAGAAAACAAAATGACTTCAAATTGTCACAAATCTCCAAATATTTTTCCAATATTTTAATTTTACAAAATCTGCATGTAAGTGAACAGCTCAAGCCTGTGTACTGCCATTTTTGACTCCACGGCAAGGTGGGTACTCAAATACTTCAATGTTTTATTGCATTTTATAAAAATAAGTGAAAATCAGAAAAATGCAAATGACAGTAATGGTAAGAAATGTAGAGCTCATAAATTTAATATAACTGAAACAAAAATGGAGTTAATGAGTCATGCCAAAAGTTGCAAATTGTTATCATAAAGTAGATAGTTACTGGCTAAAACAAGAAAAAAATTAAAGAATATGTATGAAACATGAGATATTATCAGGGATTTTTTATTTGGGGGATCTCTAGGAATAGAAATCCCCATTAGAACATGCAAATGTGCTGTTGTCAACTTGCACATATCCAACATTTTTACAAGTTTTTAGATTTACGTATGTACAATAGAAGACTGAAAATCTCATGTTACTCTGGATTCCTTCAGTTAACAAAAAAAGTGATTTGTTAAGTTGATTTTGCTATTGCTGACTTAATGAATCATACCTCAAAGGAATATGTGAATGACTGATTTTTTCCAAGTCAGCAAACATTTATTGGTCACCTCCTGTGTGCCAGGCATATGCTGGACACTGATGACACAGAGACAGATAAATCAGGGGCCTGACCTGCCAGACTCTGAAATCAGACCCTTACATCAGTGTAACTCCTCACATGGATATAGTATTTTATTGCATATAAAGCAGATACCAAGGATCAGAGAGACGATGTGGCTGACCCAAAGCAGAGCCAGTACTCTGAACCTATTCTCTTAACATCTAGTTCAATGCCCTTTCTTTTTAAACCGTTCTTTCTTTTAAAATACATGACTTTAAAAAGACTACCTACAGACTCCTGAAAGGGAAAGGTATTTTGTAGGCTAGAAGCCTTAGCTGAGATCGCTTATCTTTTAAGACAGCTACTTATTCTTTCCACTAGCATAAAAGACCTTAATACATATATTTTCACTTAACCAGTACAAGGAGTTTTATGTAATGCTGCAGGATCGACACATTCCTGCAAGATCAGTTCCTACTAACCCTGACTTCTACCCATCTAGATCCTGTTTTGTGAGCCTGCCTTTTTCTGCCACATCATGATTTTCCTTTTGATTTCCTTCTCTTTCAACTTTACAGAGTCATTCCTGGCTCTTTCTTCTTTCTGATGTGCTTTCTTCCTCTTTAAAAATGACCTTTTGCTTTCCTTTCTGACCCTGTGTAATATTTTCTTTTTCTTTTTCTTTTTGGAGAACTCAGCCTGCAAGGGAAAACACATTTAACTGACTAACTTGAGATAATATAAAATTGAAAGTTTCATTTCTACACTTAAGAGTGATTTGTTACGTGATTTATTCAGATATAAAATAAAGAATTATAATTATAATACAAATTTATAATGGTCTTCATAATTATTATAAAAGCACTAAAAAGGACTTCTGTAATTTTCTAGTTAGGATTATTGCTGTACACTGTCAAAGGTTGAGGAAGATGAAATCAGGTGTTTTTATAAGAAATGCAAATGTAAAACTGTATGATATAACCTTTATGATGGCTATTGAATTCAAATTTAAATTCAAATGTCAACAGACACTGCATTAGCCCTTAATATATACAGCATGAATGTCACCTTTTATGGAAAAGTATAGAACCTTGTGCTTAATTCGTTCTGTAGAAGCATCTGAAGGCATTTACAGGCCTCCTAACCTAAGCAATATACTTTTTTGATGAGATAAACAAGTATTCAGAAATTTCTCACAAATAATTCTAGAGGAATTTTAAAATCTTAGTAAAAGACAGGATATATACATGAATATCATCCTTTACTCACCTTCCCATCAAAGCGTTTTATTATATACTGGTCCAGACCCAAGTCTGTAAAAGAGAAAAAAAAAATTTAGTCACTGATTATAACTCAAGCGAAACATACAAAATGACATCTCTCAGTTTTGTTTCCATTCATTCAATTAAATCTATTAGATGGTTTGGCCACAACATTATTCAAAGGCCACAGGAATGAAAATTTTGTCCCACTTTCAGGCTCAAGGTGTCAGTGTTAAAAGATACAAACCTTTTAATTTACATATGAGAAATTGAGGCTCAGAGAAGATAAAGAGGGAAAAAGTTCATGTGCAAACTTATTCAACAGGAGAGTCAAACTAGAACCCTGGACTCCTCCCAGGGTGGTATTCTTTTCATTACATCAAGGTGCTATATTACCTTTAAATAAGGTGAGGGATATTAGTTTAATCTGAATGCTTAATAATTTCTTCTAACAAGTTAAAGGGAGAAGAGTTTAATATCAAAAGAAATTTGTAACACTTAAGTAGATACAAATAGACCATCTCAATAGACCTTTTAAAGTTGAGTTAAAAAATACATATCTTGAGAATACCTAGCACTGAATTCTAAACACTGAAAGATACAAGTAAATATATTAGTACCTTTGAGGGCAGGGATTTTTTTTGTCTTTGCTTGCTGTTTACCCCAGCACTTGGAATAGTGCTTCATCAATAATTTAGTACAAAACAATGAATACATAAGATACACTACCTGCCTTGAAGAGTCACAATTTATTTAGAACATATACATATAATAATTAACAATATAGGGGAGTATACAATTAGTTTGATAAAAGGGTGCTGTGGAATATTTGGAGTGGAGAAATCAGTTCCCAATTGTATTTACTTTCTTGCATAGTTTTTCAGTTCTTTTCTTTCATTTTCACGTTCATGCTAGTTCAGTCTCTTATCTCATTGTGCCCACAATATTACAATGATCAGATTATTATTGTTCCTAGGGGAAGTTTTTTGTACTTTTCTTTCTACACATTTCATTACACATTCTCCTTATCTAAAAAGTATTTCATCTTCTAGAAGCCTGCCATGAGCAAAATGAACTGTTGTCTGCAAAAGAAGTCAGGAAAAAGGAAAATTTTAAAACAAATCTAATTTGAAATCTCACAGATATTCAAAAAGATATCATAATCATAAAGACACAACACACTTCTATGATAAAAGGAGAACAAGAAAGAGTTGCAGACAACTAAAAAATATGACTACCTATTTCCCCCTATTTTTTAATATACTGTCAAAAGACAACAGGATGGAAAACAGAAAATACCAAAGAGAATTGTAGAAAAGCAGAGACTCAATACAAGAGGTCTACTATACAATACCTTTGCTCACTCAGAAATAGGAAGGAAACAATTCAAAAAGTATTAGCAGGAGATTTCTCAGAGCTGAAGAGTGACACTAAAAGAATCAACCATGCATTCTAAGCAAAATGAACAAAAAAGATCTTGTGTACGCTTGTGAAATTTTAGAACACAAAAATCCTAAGATTTCCCAGAAAAAAAAAAAACCTCTCCTGAGTCCTTTACAAAGTAATAAGAATAGAAGTAGAGTCACATATCTTATGAGTAACACTTGGCCCATCAACTAAGGGAAATACGTGCTTACTAATTAGAACAGCACTGTCCAACAGGAACATAGTGTGAGTAACAAATACATGCAACATATTTGTAAGTTAAAAGTTTCTAACAGCCATCTTAAAAAAAAAGGAAACGTGAAATTAATTTGAATAACATTTTATTTAACTGGCTCTATCAAAAATAGCATCATTTCAACATGTAATCAATATAAAAATTATTACTGAGATATTTTACATTATTTCTTAGTACTGATTTTTCTAAATCTGGTGCGTACTTTACGATTACAGCACAACTCAATCAGACTCATCTTTCATACATTCTTGTTAACTCTTAAACTCCTTTGAAGAATGTATGCTTGTCCCCTATGTATGTACTTCTCAGGATTTCCTCCTCAGATACCATCTCTTCTCACTTTATACTGTTTGTCTTTAGCAATTCTGTTACAGATTCAAGATGTCTGGTAAACACGAAACAGGATAAATTTTAAAAAATTCAAATAGCTGAAAAACAAAGGCAAAGAAAAAAAAATTGAAGCAACCAATTTAAAGTGCTGAAAGAAATAAACTTCAATCCAGAATTCTTTATCCAGTGAAAAAAGAACGAAGAAAAATAAAAATGTTCTCAGATGAAGGAAAACTTGGACAATTCATCACATTCATTACCAGCAGACTCGCTCCAAGATTTGTTGTATCCTCCAAAGGGGAAGGAAATGATATGAGAGGAATTTGTAACTTAAGAAATAAAGAAAAAGCAATAAAAAGGTTAATTATCTATCTAACAGACCATTTCTCAGGTTCTTTATGTGTGACAGTTGAAAAAAAACTTCAAACAATGTCTGGGAGAGTTTTCAATATGCGTAGATACAATGCATATGACACACGATACCATAAACTGGGGAAGGACTTATATAGTGGTAAGATACCTGCATTCCACTTGAAGCAGTAAAATGTACATTCTTAGCAAAGTTTATAATTATATGTATTATAATCTCTATAGCAATCACTAAATTAAAGATAAACAAAGAAATATGGTAAAAACTCCAAAAGATCACTTAAAAAGAAATATTTTAAAATCTTCAGATAATCTGAAAATAAGACAGGAAAGAAGTAATAGAGGAACATAAAAAAGAGGGGAGAAAAAGAGAAAACTAAAAAAATGGTAGACCTAAATCCAAATATACTGATAATTACATTAAATGTAAATCTTCAAAACATATTAATTAAAAGATAGAAACTATTACATTGGATAAAAGCCAAGATCCAACTATATGTTGTCCATAAGAAACCCATTTTAAATATTATGGTATAGGTGGTTTAAAGAAACAGGATGTAAAAAGATATATCATGAAAAATGAATGAAAGAATATACATAAATATTAGAATATGTACACTTTAGAGCAAAGAAATATTATCAGGGATAAAGAGGGTCAATTATATAATATATTAAAGGATCAACTCAACAAAAAGAATAATCCTAAATGTGTATGCATCTACTAAGAGAAAACCAAAATATTTGAAGCAAAAATTGATAGAACAGAAAGGATGAATATATAAATCAATAATTAAAGTTGGAGATCAACATGTTTCTCTCAGTAACTGACAGAAAATCAGTACAGATACATGACAGAATGTACATCCTGGTTGCCTTGGACTTGGGTGGTAGAAAAAAGTTGGAAGGAATGATTACAAATGGATTATGAAGAAACTTTTGGGGGTGATAAATATGTTTATTATATTGACTGTGCTGATGGTGTCACTAGTACATACAGGTGACTAGTATATCAAAACTAACCAAACACTTTAAACATGTGCTGTTTATTCTATGTTAATTATACCTCAATAAAGCAGTTAAAAAGAAACAGCACAAGCCATCAAGGAGAAGACTAACACATTTGAAAATAACTAGCAACCTCTGTATATAAAAAATTACCATAAAGGAAATAAAAAGATATGCCACAGATTAGGAAAAGATATCTGCAATATATATAACAGATTTCAATACAGAATATATAAAGTACTTTTACCAATCAAAAATAAATAAAATAAAATAAATTAAATAGAAAAGTGAGTAGAGAAAATGAATAGGCAATTCATAGAAATGGCAATGTGAATAGCCAATAAACATTCAGAGACAATAAGCCTCCTTAGGTGCTAGTGAAATACAAAATATAACTGTAAGATACAATAGTATCTTATATGCTAAAAAATTAAGTCTAACAACACTAAGTGTTAGCAGGAATGCTGAGGAAACTCATACATTCTTGGGAAAAAATGTAATTATTGTATCTACGTAATCAATTTTATAATATTTAACAAGTTTTAAGAGAAATGTATCCTATAGGCCAGCAAGCCCAGTCCCATTTTTAGGCTGAAAATAACTTGTTGCAAACACGTACCAGGAGATGTATGGAAGAATGTTCACTGCAATATGGTTTGTAATAGTAAAAACATTAACATATTAGATTATTGTTCTCAAATACTCACTTCTCTTTAATCACCATGGAAAATCCCTTGACTTTGGGCTTAGCCATGAAACTTGCTTTTGCCAATGGGATATTAACAGTTATGACCGAAACAGATCCTTAAAATGGACTTGCTTTCTTGTGCCTCTGCTAACTATGAGAAGAATATATCCTGAATAGCCCAGTGGTCTGTAAAGGCTGAGAAACAATAGAGTGACTGACAAATCTGCTGACAAAACCATGAAGCAGAGTGGTCCTAGCCTGTTAGCTGAGCCTTACTTTATCTACAAAATAAAGCCAGCTCAGATGAGCAGAGCACACTTAAGTGACCTACAGATGCATAAGCTAAATGAATGCTTGTTGTCTTATTCCACTGACATTTTGTGGTTGGTTGTTTTATAATAGCTGACTCATAAAACTGGAAACAAATTAAATGTCCATCTACATGAACATGGATAAATTAAATATTGGCATATTTATACAAATTTATATATAAATGATACACACAACTATGTAGTAAGGAATGTAAGAGAACAACAGCTACCTAGATCAACAAATATAAATGTAATATTTAACATAAAAAAAGCATGGGAAATGTAGCAGCCAGAACAGGCTAGGTTATGCTACAGTAATAATCTTAAAATCTCAGTGGTTTACAACAAGGAAGGTTTATATGTTGTTCAAGCTACATATCTATCACATGTTGGCTGAAGCTCTACTCCATATGGTATTAAATCTGGGATCCAGCCTAATGGAGCAGCAGCCTCTACCTGAAACATGGCAAAGGTAAAAGAAAACACAGAAAACCACAAACTGAATCTTAAAGCTTTTGCTAGAACATAATATATATCATTTCTGCTAACATTTTACTGGTCAGAAGTAATCACATGGCTAAGACCAATGTCAATGTTAAGGGATGGATATAATCATCCCCCAGGGAAGGACAAGGATATGTGGGAATGTTATAGTTTTCAATAGGAA